CAAGACGGTAGGCATCAAGGGCACAGACAGGTTTCTTTGTCATCTGCTAGGCCAAGTATGCTGGGGTGCTGAGGGCTGCTGCACAGGCCAGTAGAGTTTGGACTTCTCTTTACTTTTAAAACTCTTTATTGTCTCCATAAAAAAAGTTATGGACTCTGGCATGAAGAAGATGGAGGGCAATGAGCCAAAGAATGCTTCCCCACTGGCCCCACCCCCAAATTCCTTGATCAAAAATACCCTTTAAAAACTACTGAACAGGGAAGAGAACATTCATCCACTGGTAAACAGGTAGAGAGTTCTAATAACACGGCTGCAATTTAACCCCTTAAATAAGTTTTAACATCAGTTTCCTTTTAACAAAAATAAAAAGTATATCCAATTAACAGTGTTGCAACAAAAAGCAATTTTAAAACTTATAACAAAAAAAGAAAGGAAAGAAAGAAAAAATATGTGAGGCCTAATTTAGTAGTGCACGCCTTTAATTCCAGCACTAGGAAGGTAGAGGGAGGGGAATCTCTATGAATTTGAGGCAAGCTTGCCTTACAAGGCAGTCCAAGGTGGTCAGGGCTACATAATGTACCAGCAAGACAGCTCAGCTGGTGAAGACACTGATTACCAAGTCTGATGACCTGAATCCAGGTCCCACATGTGGAAGGAGAGACTGATTCTCACAAGTTGTTTTCTCTGCTTATGCTGTCACAAGCATCCCTGTCCACTTCCAATAATTAATTAATAACAAATTAATTAAAGAAACAATTAAAACCACCAAAACCAAAACAATGCATTTAAAGTTCATAGAAAAATGTGCACACAGAGCAGCAGACGGAAGGGAGTGTATTACTAAGGAGAGATAAGGTGCTAAGTGAGTGTGAAGGGTGTCCAGCCTCACAATCCATGCTACACGGAGTGAGTGTGAAGGGTGTCCAGCCCCACAATCCATGCTACGCTGAGTGTGAAGGGCGTCTAACCTCACAATCCACGCTAAGCTGAGCGTGAAAGGTGTCTAACCTCACAATCCACGCTACACTAAGTATGAAGACCGTCTAACCTCACAACCCATACTACACAGCTAGCTACTCTACAGACTTCATGTACATCGGTGGAGCTAAAAATCAAAGTACCCAAAACTTAAGAAATTGTGAGGATTTTCCTGTTCAAAAAATTGAACTGAAATCATTTATCAAAATACCTAACATGGGGCTGGAGAGATGGCTCAGAGGTTAAGAGCACTGACTGCTCTTCCAGAGGTCCTGAGTTCAATTCCCAGCAACCACATGGTGGCTTACAGCCATCTATAATGAGACCCGGGGCCCCCTTCTGGCTTGCAGGCACACGTGGAAGGAAAGCTGTACACATAATATAATAAATAAATATTTAAAAAAAAAATACCTAACATGACAAAGTTTCTTGTTTCAACCAGAATTTTAACATCTTGCTTTTACACTGACCGTATCCAAAGCTATTTAGCAATTATATTGTTGACTAATGAGAAAATGAGTTTAAATATTTAATTTACTTATACACAAAACCCAACTAAATGGGATCCTTGGAGAAAACAAATGCATTGTAGTGAGCATTCCAAAAAGTGTTTGGCTACTTCTGTTGAGGGGACAAACTATTCTTACCAGACTGTTTCCAGGTAGGCCCTGGACTCATCCAGCTCAACTTACCCACTAAGGTAAAATTGCTCTCCAAAAGTTCTCTATGAGAGTTAAACCAGGCCTGAGCAAGCCGGCTGTTCTTATTCTTCCCAATGATGTAGTTCATGATATAGGCAAGCAGACCAGTCACCATCAGAATCTCTAGATAATAACTCTCCCAGTTGTTCTGGAGGTGTGCAGGGACCTTAGGAAGGAAAAAGTCCCATTTAATGTTGGCTGAGACTGAACATGGAGACTAAGTAATGGGTTAAAAAAAAAAAAAAGAAAAAAAACAAACCAAAACAAGAAAGCTCATAGACAGAAGTGGATACTTTAAATTACTGTCACTGGAAAATAGTTACACATTAGAGGCTAGAAAGAAGATTCAATGGTTAGGAGCACTGGCCACTCTTGCAGATGACACAGGTTCAGTTCCCAGCACCCATATGATAGCTTGGGGACCTGGTGCTATCTCTGGCCTCTAAGGGCAACGGACATGCACAAGATGCACTTAACAGTCATGCAGACAAACAACAAAGAAGTTACACTTCAAAAAATATGTCCATTTTGATCTTCTAGGTCAGCTTTTTATTTATTATGTTTTGGTGTTTTTTGGTTTTGTTTTTTTCTGGATAGGGTTCTGTAGCCCTAGCTGTCCTGAAACTTGATTTGTACAATACAGAACTCAGAGATCTGTCTGCCTGTGCTCTACAATGCTGGGACCAAAGTCATGTGCTGCCGCCACCACCTGGCTCTGGGTCAGGGTCATTTTCCAGAGTATGCCCAATGCCGTCCACTTATGTTACTTGAATTAAATAAAAGTAGGAGGGCTAGACTACAACACAGGAGTGCTTCATTGCAATGGATGCTCAAAGAATTCATGTTAAGCTCTTTAATTAGATTACACTACTATTCCAACCACCATAAGTCAGGGACTACAGTTATGGTATTGATGATTTACTGCTCAGTTTGGAATTTAAAATCTTATATACTTACATCAACGATTGTTATTGGGTCTTTATTTTTGCTAGAAGAGGTATCTGGTTTGTCTTCATAACCCTCAAATTCTTCATCATCATATGGCTCACTTTCAGTATCTCCCTCCTATAAAAACAAAACACAATCATGTCTACAAATGGCGCTGGCAGTTGTGTCTCACTTTGTGGGAAACATTTGTAGAGGAAAACATAACTAGTGAGCAACAAATACAGATCACAGAGCTGTAAAATGCTTTTTGCAAAATATCAAACTTTGAGGTGTAAGTAAGTTCCAGAAAACTAACATATGTGGTAATGACATTTAATAATACATTTCACATGTAAAGTTTGATAAGAGAGCTGGGTTCAGTAGCAAGTGGATTTAATCCCAGCACTTGGGAAGCAGGTAGATCTCTGCTGGTCTATATAGCAAATTTCAGGACAGCCAGGGATATCTAGTGAGATACTGCTTCAAAACAAACAAACAAAAAACAGACAGGAAAGTTCTTTTTTTCAAATAGAATAAACCTTGTCCCTGTTTTCTCACTACTTCTTACTACACATAAAAAAATCTATATGAGCCGGGCAGTGGTGGCGCGTGCCTTTAATCCCAGCACTCGGGAGGCAGAGGCAGGCGGATCTCTGTGAGTTCCAGGCCAGCCTGGTCTATGGAGCGAGTTCCAGTACAGGCTCAAAAACTACAGAGAAATCCTGCCTTGAAAAATTACAGAGAGAGAGAGACTCCAAAACACCAAAGGATGATGCCGCTTACTTTACACCTTATACCCAAAGTTCTACATTTTCATTCATACCTTATCTATCCTCAGTTCAGCTCTTATCTACTGCGGTAACTACAGAAAACAGAATGCTTTATCAAGGCAGGAAGAACACACCACAAAACCTTTAGAAGAGCTTAGCTGGGTAGTGGTGGCGCACACAGGCCTCTGTAGGTTTGAGGCGAGCCTGGTCTACAAAGCCAGGTCTATCAGGACATCCAGGGCTATCAGAGAGAGAATAAACTAGCAAAGCTCTAACCGAACAGAAATGAAGATTCCAGAGAGTAAAAGTTTCCCTACATCTGGGTTTTTGTTTGAGAAAAGCACTAATAAATTTTCCCACCCTCTGAATTTTCCAATAAATCAATAAGTACCCTATTTGGTGGAGTTAAAGAAATGGCTCATAAGTTGAGAGCACTTGTTGCTCTTGCAGAGGACCTGGATTTGGTTTCCAGAACACACGTGGCTGCTTAGGCCCAAAGGATCCACTTCCTTCTTCAGGCCATCAAGAGAACCAGGCATGCATATATGCAGGAAAACACTCAGACAGAACAGTAAAAGGAAATTAATCCTCCCAGCAGTGGTGGTGCATGCCTTTAATCCCGGCACTTGGGAGGCAGAGGCAGACGGATCTTTGTGAGTTTAGAGGCCAGACTGGTCTACAAATTGAGTGTCAGGACAGTCAGGGCTGCACAGAGAAACCCTGTCTCAAAAAAAACCAAATAAATAAATCGTAAACAAAAACCCTACCTGGGTATCTGCATCTTCAAAATCTCCTTCTTGGTTTTCATCCTGCCCTTCCAACTCTACAGTGGTCTCATCTTCATCATCTTCAGTGGTTATCACTCGCTGAGGAGATTCCGTAACAGAGTCTTCCATGACATCCTCAAACTCAGCGAAATCATTATCATCATACTCTACTATGTCTTCCTCATCCTCGAAATCATCAAACTTGGCTTCAGAGACACTCCCAAACACCAAAAGGACAGCACAGAAAGCGTAGAAGGCTTTCATTGCGTCTTAAAAATAAGCTGTAAGAGACAGAGAGTGTGTGCTAAGTGAACTATCATTCCACATACAGGATCAACACAGTTCGTAAATCGTTAGTAATCTACAAACCAGCTAGGAGTGGTGACACATGCTTGTAATCCCAGTACTTGGGAGGTAGAAAGAGACCAGAAGTCCATGGCCAGCCATGGCTACATACTGAGGTCAAGGCCAGACACTTAATTAATAACAAAATAATCACAGAGCGGTGGTGGTATATGCCTTTAATTCTAGTACTCTAGAGGCAGAGGCACATGGATCTCTGTGAGTTCAAGGCCAGCCTGGTCTACAAATTGAGGACAGCCTGGACTGTTATATAGAGAAACCCTGTTTTAAAGACCCTCCCCAATATAAATAAATAATAATAATAAAACCCAGAAGACCAACCAAACACTAAGTTCACAAACATCTCCTAAGTTTATCTTCCTCAATATTCTTGGAATCAGAGAGTACTATGTTTAAAACAAACAAACAAACGAACAAAACCAAAAACCAATGAGGTGAGGTCAAGAGCCATGGGGTCTATCAAAATTCTGTCAACAGCTATCTGCAAAAACATGTACAAGTTATTAATTTCTTTAGATTTGATTTTCTAAAATCCTCTATTTATGTTATATAGTCCATAAGCTTTTTTCCCCTCAAAAAAAAAGTATTTTTGAGAAACTATTAAGTCCTTTCTAAAAGAACTAAAGAGTTCAGAGGAGCAATAAGATACAACCATTATACATAAATGGTTATGAAATAATCCACGAATAAAACACACCAGGACTGAGATGAACCTTGGCTGCACAGTGCTTGCAGTCATTCTTCTGACACACATAGGTTGCTGGTTTCGTCATCAGCACTGAAAAGGGAAGCCATTTACATACAGATCCATTGTGCATGTTTGCCCTGCAGACATGCTCTCCAGGACAAACACCACCATTATCATCATCATAAGTGTGAATACTTAAATACATCATAAGTGTGAATACTTAAATACAGAAAGAGGACGCAATGGAGACATCAATCAATGCAACAATGCAATGTGACAGAAAGGACTCATTCAAAGAGTATTAATTTTGCATTAAATCTCAGAAGACAATAAAAAAAAAATCAACCAACAAAATCATTTACGTTCTCAATTCTGCCCCCTCATCTAAACGGCAGTCCTCAGCCCAAAGGATGGCTACGTGTGAGCATATTACTGACAGTCTATTTGAGTCAAAAAGACACCAGAAAGGTCTGACCATTTCAGTACTGATGGGTATTGTGAGAGCGTTACTTCTGATGATTAAACTATAGGTGTACCGTTATGAAAGGGCTGGGCTGATGAGGTGGCTCAGTGGATAAAGGTACTTGCCAACAAGCCGAAAGACTGAGTTTTCCCCTTGATCTGCCTCCACATAATTTGTCTTCTGACATCTACGTTCACACAGAGGTATACCTCCCTGCTTTTCTGACCCAAATGAATGAATGGATGTCATTTTTAAAACACTACCAGGGAGCCTACCTAGGTTTGTAACTCAGTTGGTGGAGTACCCGGGAATCTAGCACCATATAAAATTGGGTGTGGAGGCACACTCCTATAGTCCAAGCAGTGGGGAGTCTGAGGCAGGGGGATCAAAGTTCAAGGGTATCCTCTTCTATACAGTGAGCTCCTGGTCTCTCCAGGGTTCATGAGACCCTGTCTCAAGAACTCTAAGGGGTGGTAGGGTGGGGTGCATGCCTTTAATCCCAGTACACAGGAGTAAGGGGCAGGCAGATGCCCAAATTCAAGGCCAACTAAGACTAAGTACTGAGATCCTATGTTAAAAAAAAAAAGAAAGAAAGCAGCAGGGTGTAGTGGTTTAATCTTATAAACCCAGCATCAGGCATCCTCAGCTAAAGGCCTACCCTACATAGTAAGTTTTAAGCCAGCCTGCAGGAGTGAAACAGTGTTTCAAAAAACAAAAAGCTTCTGGTTTAGTGTTCCCCTTTTCAAGTAGAAGTAACTAATTACCACTGTCAGCTTGATTAACAGACACCAGAAAGGTCTGACCATTTCAAGCTGAGTCTATACTCGGAAAGTTCGCAACACACAAGCATTTCTAATGCAATTCATACAACCAGGCCCCCTCAAGGTTATTTAAGTTAAAATGATCCAAGGCACATGCTGCACCTGTCAGCCCATTTCTCAAATGTACAACTCTCCGCCAGGTCACCCAGCCTCGAGGACTTCTGAAGCGGAAACCACAAGAATGCAGGCCAGGCACAAGCATTAACAGGCCTGTCTTGACTGTCTTCGGCCAGCTCACTCAGTAAGTCTCTCACGCAACCACTTGACTCCAGACTGAGAAACGAGTAAGTGAAGCAATCACTGCTAGTCCTCTGGGGTCCTCATGGCATTAGTCAGAACAATGGAATTTCTAGAAACGCTGTAAGACATTCCCGTCTCCTTCCAGAGTGTTGGCTACAAACAAGCTGTTGGCTAGAAACCTTCAGCTAAGGTCGGACTCTAGAAGGGGTTGCTTCTGTCAAACCTCTCGTGCCTGGTCCTTCCTCCACCACCCATGGAGAACACTAGCGTCTACGCTCCATTCTTTCCGGCTGCACACCAGAAATCTTCTCAGATTTTGTCCTGCTGGTTGGGAATTTGCTCAAAGCCACTAAAATGACCCCCAAACCCTCCTAAAGTCCAACAACAACAACGGACCAGAAAAGAACGTGCAGAGGCTTAATCTTCTTTTTAATTCGAGAGAAGTAAATTGCGGGGATTGATGCATGTCACCACCAGCCGGACATAAAAAGGTTGGTTAGGTGAGAAACAGTCACAGGCAATGCGGCCATGCAACGCAAAACTTAGTCACCGCTCGGCCTGGCTCGGCCACAGAGACTGGCATGTCACGGTTCGCTACCTACCTGCACCCCGGCCAGGGGCTTCTGAGGCTACCACCTCCACCCAGCCTGCCTGCGTCTGGCCTCCGCCTTCGGGTCGGAAAGATTTCTGCGGGCCGCGATTGTCACTGGGTCACAACCCAGAACAGGTAGCTCAGTCACGGCACCGTACACTTCACGTAGCTTCAGCCGTCCGTTACGTAGAATGCGTACGGCTGGTCTGCGCCTGCGCACGAAGTGGGGGCGGGGGCGCAAGGCGAGGTTGGGCTGCCGGGAAAATTACGTAACCCTCGCCGCTCCTGGGCCTAGCAGGGCTCTAGCGGAGGCTGGGTTCCTCCAGTCCTGTCAGGTTGACGTCACTTTGGTCCCGGAAGCTAAAGGTGGCCATACTCTATGGGACCATGTGGCCATAGGCATGGAGGGAATTGTTGCCCAAATCGTTCTTTGCAAGGGACAGGAACTAAGGGAGGGTCGACAGCCTTATGTAAATGAGGTTTTCGGTCAACATCCTTTTTTTTTTTTTTTTTTTTTTTTTGGTTTTTTCGAGACAGGGTTTCTCTGTGGTTTTGGAGCCTGTCCTGGAACTAGCTTTTGTAGACCAGGCTGGTCTCGAACTCACAGAGATCCGCCTGCCTCTGCCTCCCGAGTGCTGGGATTAAAGGCGTGCGCCACCACCGCCCGGCGGTCAACATCCTTTTATCTTGGGTTTTTGAGTAGTTCCTTGTTACTTCCGCTCTGCTCTCTTCATCCCAGACCTGCTCTCTCTTTTTTGTAAGAGACAGGGTTTCTCTGTGTAGCCCTGGCTGTCCAGGGCTGGCCTCGAACTCACAGAGATCGCTGCTGGGATGAAAGGCATGCGCCATCATGCTCTAACCTGAGCCATAAACATTCTCCATCCAGAACCAGGTTCCTGTCCAGTGTGTGTGACGCGCCTACGATGTGTTCCGGGATCTGAAGGGCGCGCGTAATTGGCGCCTTTCGGGACCCGTAGCCCCAAGCCACACCCTTCGGCTCGCGCCCTCCTCAACGCGCATGTCAGACGCGCGTCCCCCTCCCCCTTTAGTCAGCAACGGGCCGTGAGGCAGCGGCGGCGGCGAAGGGGGCGGAGGAGGCGCTCGGCTGGACGCGGCTCCGTTCCGTGCGTACTGGGGGCCGTGTGGTTCTTTGGCGCCGACTGTAGTCGCAGCTGCATCCGTGGCTGCAGCCGCAGGTTTGTGTAAAGGGCTTTGCAGACGCGGAGCCGCTCGCCCCGGGGGCACGGGAGGTAACTGGGGCCTGGCGAGGGCGGAGGGGAACCGCGGCCCTCGCTCAACAAAGAATCGGCGGAGCCTCGGGACCCCGGGCGGCTTCGGGGGTCCGGGGAAAGCCGGATGCGCCGTCTGGATCCCCGAGGGAGGCCCTGCCGAGCTGCGTTCGCCTTCGCACGGCTCCGCTCCTCGCACGTCTGGACCGGGCCCACTTGGCTGCTTTCCGGAGGCGGCGCCTGCCGGGCTACAGGAAGGGATTTTTAGGGTGCTGGGCTGTGAGAGCCAGTGGGAGGATGTTGATCCCTGTTAGGTAGCTGGTTGAGCTTGCAGGCCCGCAAACGGGGTTCTCGATAGCGGGAGTTGACATAGACGGCTTCACATAGGAGATCTTGGAGAAACCTTGGGTAGATCATGATTAGCATCAGGATACATAGTTAGAAACTTTGTGCGGCCTACTTGAGCCTACCTGATGTGAGTAAATGTATGTATGGATTGCAAGCACGTACCAGAAACACTATACTGGTCAGAGTGAGGGGGCATATGTAGGCATTTCTGTCATTTCAGCGTTTCTCTCTTTGCTCCTACTTCTTTAGGCTGTCGTTCAGTTTCCTGTGGCTTCCCTGCGTATTTTTATTTTTTTGCAAATGGTATTTATTATCTATTACACACCTGGCCGGAGGGGGCTATGTTTTCTTTTGCTTAAACTTTGTAGAGCCCAGTCTGTTCTGGCAGGTAGGAAGTGAACAGTAAATGTTTGATACAGAAGTTTGTTCTTCCAGCGATGAAAATATTATTTTCCTTAACCTAGAAGGAGAATTACATAGCCTAATATGATGCATTCCAAAGAAGTTTAATTATTGCCTCTGTGCTTGGTCTGTCTTGCATTGCTTAAGTATTAATAAGTCTGCGACCCCTGCCCTCTTGAGCCTTTCTTTCTTTAAATACATTTTTTTGCTCTTATTTATTTGTTTTTGTTTTCTCGAGACAGGGTTTCTCTGTGTAGTTTTGGAGTCTGTCCTAGAACTCGCTCTGTAGACCAGGCTGGCCTCGAACTCACAGAGATCCTCCTGCCTCTGCCTCTCAAGTGCTGGGCTCAAAGGCATGTGCCGCCGCCACCACCTGGCTTACAGATACTCATGTATGTGTGTGTACCATACCCTCCCGTAGAGGTCAGAAACCAACCTGTAGGGAGTCGGGTTTGTCCTTTGACCACGTGGGTCCTGAGGATGGACCACAGCTCAGGCTTGGTGTCAAGCGTCTTTACTCACTGAAACATTTCAGCAGAAACTTTCCGGTGCAGAATAAGAGACAAGATTATTTTACGGTGTATGATACGGAATAATCTGTACCTGCCGAGGAAACTTCAGAGAAACTGCAGTTTGCAGGAGAGTGGGTTATACAAATGCTGTCCCAGCAGTGTAGAAGATGGTGAGTGAGTCCTTCCGTGGACCCATCTGGAGAAAGCAATGTTCTGAGCCAGAGAGCAGCAATCACAAAGGCCTTGAAGAGGACAAAGCTGGGCGGGCATGTTAGAGAAACAGTGTGTTTGTAGTATTTAGCAAATGAGGGAGTTATGGGAGATAGGCAGCAAAGAAGAGAACAGTACCAAGGCCTTGTAGACTATTTTGAGGATTACATCTTCACACTGCCCTAATGGGGCTGTCTGAGCAGAGGGGTGATAAATTTTGACTTCCATTGTAATACAATTCCATTCACTGTCATTTTAGGTTGTTTAGTTTGATTCATGGAAGAATACACTTATTTATCTTCTGTCTATTTCATAGTTACCGGTTGTCCTTAGTTTCATTAAAAGTGACAGGAACGGAGTGCTTCTAAAATAATTCACCCAGCACTCACATAAATCTAGGTTTGGAATGTAATGAAATTCTTGGGTTTTGTACAGCTTTTCATTACATTAAAGAAGGTAACAAAATAGTTGTTTACTATTCTGTTATAATTTCTCATTAAGCCATTAAAGAACTAATTGGCTATACAGTGTGTAAGATGTTCTCAAAACAAATTTTAGGTAGAGTAGATACTAACCAGCTGTCATTGTGGCTCTCTTATGAAACTTACCCTACTAGAAGACTCGGTAATCTTGGTTTCTTGTGAGTTATGTGACACCTTACTGTGAATCTGAGTTAAGAGAGCTGACAGTATCAATTTGCCAACGGAGAGATTAATTTCTGGAGAAATGGTAAACATGTCTATAGATGTGTGTTGAGCATGGTGCTCCATAGTGCTTCAATAAATGGTTACTTTGATTTTTATTTGTTGAATGTGGGACAGTCTCACTCTTTAGACCACTTTGGTCTAGAACTCACTGTGTAGCCCAATCTTTAGCTCATAGGAGCCTCTCAAGTGCTACACTTTTTCCCCATTAACTCGGTTTTTTACTTCTAAGTTTTAAGGTGTGGAAATCTAGAGCCCAGAGAGCTAAGTGACATCTTTGATGAGATTCATTTAGTGGTGACAGAACTAGAATATGAATATAGCCAACTGCTGTTATTTTACAATTCTGTTAAGATTTCTTATTAAACCATCACATTTTGGTGCCAGGCACCGAATAAGACTTTGTACCATTTTTGTTTATCCTCCTCATTCAAGTTGTAGCTCCTCTTTAGACTTTCACATTAAGCATGAATAATGAGTGTTTGCTTTCAAAAACCTAAGAGATTAAAGATAAGTATTCATTCTTCATCCTAATGTATAGTGTTTAAGAAAGAACACAGAACCGGGCAGTGGTGGCGCAGGTCTTTAATTCCAGCACTCAGGAGCAGAGGCAGGAGGATCTGTGAGTTCGAGACCAGCCTGGTCTACAAGAGCTAGTTCCAGGACAGGCACCACAGCTACAGAGAAACCCTATCTCGAAAAACAAAACAAAAAAAAATGAGTGGTTAAAATCATTTACTGCTGCAATACAATGCATGATTCCAGTCTGACTAACTGAAAAGCCACCAAATTTAAGGCAGTGAGAAACTAAATGGTATTTGAAAGGTATGAGGCCAAGCTCTGAAGGAAGAGGGTCTTCGTGTGTATCTCAGCAAATGTAGAGTGGTGCATTGCTTACAAGGTATTAACAGACACAAATTATTCTCCCAGAGGAAATAGAAATTTGTTTTGTTTTCAGTTTTGTTTCATTCTAACTTTATTTTTTATACTTTCCTATATAAAAGTCACTTTTATGTATTGTGGAATGTTTGTTGTAGATGCATCTTCGAGACATATATCACATGAACTATCACATGAACTTTCCAGTACAACAGACATTCTTTTTTTTTTGGATTTTTCGAGACAGGGTTTCTCCATAGCTTTTTGGTTCCTCGAACTCACAGAGATCCGCCTGCCTCTGCCTCCCGAGTGCTGGGATTAAAGGCGTGCGCCACCACCGCCCGGCTACAACAGACATTCTTGAAACAGTTTGGAAACTTGGTGTGTTAAGGACATTTACCTCATTGAGTCCTCTGACGTCTGTCCGCAGGAGTTTAACCTCTTACCCTGCTTGCTTTAATTTCATAATATTTTTACTGTCTGAAATGAAATGGTTTTGTTTTTTCCCCTCTCATGGACCACACTGAATTCCCTGAGGGCCTTTTGATCCCATGACTGTATCCTCAGAGTCTTAAAAAATTGCTTGACACAAGATAAGAACTCCCTTAGTATATTCTCGTATAGAATGATCACTATATTTTACTAGAATGATGTGATACTTAATAAATATCAGACTTGTTACAGTGTTGCAATAGTGGAGGTACAGATAGAAAGAAGGCCATGTACTTCTTAGTATTAGGGAAGCCCAGTTCAGAAAGTGGTTAGTGGTCAGTATGAAGCATTATGACACAGTCGATACTAGTACTAAGATCTAGCTTGAGTTCATCCTGCTATATGGGTTATTTTCAAATTAGGTGTTTCAGTTTTGTTTTTGTTTTTGTTTTTTTTTTTAAGATTTATTTATTA